AAAAGGGTGCTATAGATAAAAAAGACATATATATATATATATATATATATATATATATATATATATATATGGACAGATGCAATGAACTCCGTGGTCGCTTCAGGAACTCCCAAAATACTTGAGTTTTGTGAACATACGTATTGTGCAACGGTTGAACTAAGTGTATTATCTCTGAATTTACGATTACATATTACTGGTACACTTCAGCAGCAAAAAAGACCCAAAGGGCACCTTTGGTCGGTTGGCTCATTGTATACCGTTCTTTGACCCCCCAGTTCAGTTTTGGACACACGGCAAGTAAATCCTGGAATAAGAAAATCAATGCTTTTTTTTAAAAAAACTTTAGCCAGATGGATACAACACTAGTAATATAGATTGGTTTGGGAAGAAATCTAGGGAAATGTATTCACTACACACAAGCGTACTCACCTGTATATTGTTCCGAACTTTCTCATGGACCGGATCAGAAGCATCTCGCCCTGGAGTTTGGCTGGCAGCCAGGAGTACGTCTCGCAGTCCAGTAGCCACGTCTCGACAAGCACTCAACACTTCAACCTGCGTGTGTGTGGTGACAGTCGATTTCGACAGAAAGGCCAGATAATATGAGCAGGCGTGCATGGATAAGAAGAGGCACCCGCGACCCAGGGGAGCACAGACGGATGACGAGGCATGGTCGTCCAATGTGTGTGAGCGAGCGTGTATGATATACGTGTGAAAGGGAAAGGACCGGGAATCAGTCGCGACCGAATCGCAGAGGAGCGAGTGGAAGGGGGTGGGCGGAGGAAGAGAGCACGCAAAAGCAGGCTGTCAGAGCATGCATACAGAAGGACGGTGCAGCATGAAAGAACGCTACCAGCAACACAGAAAAATGACATCCTCAACAAATCCACATCCCCCAACCAAGTCCGGACGCCAACAGTGATCCCCAGGCAGCTGCAACCATCAGGATCGTTACACTGAAAGTACATACACACACACGCAATTATGGCAACGGTAACCATCTCTTTAGGAAACTGTTCAAAGCTACTCGAAATAAACACTTGACTGCGATAGTGAGTAAAAGGGAGCGCAGCGAGGCGAATGTGTGTGTGTGTGTTCAAGAGTTCAAGAGATTGGACAGTTCCACCATTACCCCGTTTTACACGAAACAATCTACAAGCGCATTGTCGAGGCGGAGAAAAGTTTGAAAAAACATGCAAGTCGTGTGCACTTTTGGGACTTCCCAAAAGTATGAGTGAGTGGGGTGAGAGAACCTTTGTTCGGTTGAATGAGTGAACAAGTAAGTGGAGAGCGTCATCGAGTGAGTGTAGCAGAGGTACAGTTACCAAGTCAGTTGATTGATGCAGCGAAAAATCAGTTGGTAGGTAAGTGAACAGGACTACCATTGTACCAGGTGAAGGAACATACCACAAATAAATAGCACGCAAATAAGATGACCGGACTGTTTTTGCAACAGAAGTGTAAATTAAGCGTAAAAGTTGGAATAGGACCAGAAGAAGAGGACACAGTGGCTATTTTGTAATAAAAACAAAGCCAGACACGCGTAGGAGGGGAGGGGGGAGGATGGTCATGTGACGAGCTAATAGAGGCGTGGTCTGTCGAAGACCATGCCAGCGAAAGATTGATAAGTCTGAGGTGGGGAGTTGGGAGGAGTGGTGTGCAACACCGACGAGTCGAAATCCCCGCAGTAGCAAGCATACAGAGATCATGTACGAGGCATGCAAGCAAGCGAGCAAGCGATCAGACAAACCCAGGCACAACCAACAGACGATTGTGCGTAGCCGGGAGTAGACGGGGCGCGAACAACAGACGCCGATGATGGGAAGGACGGAAACACGGGAAAACACAGTGGTAAGCGATTGGGGGAGCTACAAGTCAATAAAGGAAACCATTGACACTGTCACAACCACCACCACACCCATAGAAAAACAACCACCGGTGTGCCTGTATTAAGGCAATTGATCTTAATAATGACTACTAAAAGTTCCTCAAAGTATTGAGGCTCAAGTTCACATGGATGGTGATCCCGAGAAAGGATACTCTCCCCAATATGGACAACGAAAAATGCGTTACAATGGAGTAGTGTATGCTATTCTCGAACAGAATGTTTCCACCCAGAAAAGGCCCTTTCTTAGCAAAGACGAAAGTCGATCGCCAGATAAATGTTATGGTATGAACTGAGAAGACAGGTTTATAGATGGGATAAAGCAGATCATCATGATGGGATCAAACGGAATGTCTCCGTTTGGCTCTTATGAGCTGATATTGAAGATTGAATAGGTGGGCCCACTATTTCCTCCCATGGATGAATATCTATTGGCACGAATACTCGATCACGTGATAAGAGCTGGACAGCCTATTCCGTGGATTGTGAAATCGACTCTTCAAATTGTGTAGAATCAAGAAATCCGCTTACAAGGTGATGTGTAACACAGACGAGAGTGCAACTTGACCGACAGATGAGGTGAACCAATCCATGTGTATATGGCGTTTCATCAAATGGGAAAAATGTCCATGGTCAATCCTCACCACTGAATTCTACTGACTGCAGAAGCGTGCTGGTTGTTGTAAAAACCCGTCAACAACAACAAAGAAATGAAGAAAGCAACCCGAGGCTACAAACAAGTATGAGGAACGGGAGATTATACGGCCAAAAAATCATGGAGTGTACTCACTTGTGTATCTGGCTGTCCAGGACCAATGACAGCCGCACCGCGCTTGACTACGTCAGCGAGTTGAGTGACCCGCTCGACAGCTACGTGAGCAGTTGTGGCCAGTCGCGTTTGATCTTCGCCCGTCCCACTGACCAGAGACTGGGTATCATCCACAAGAGCTCTTGCTGTGCGTACGATACTGTCGCTGGAATGAATAGGGAGAAGGAGGCACATGAACGAGGGTTGCGTTTCAATTGAATGTAAACTGACCGAGCACACGTTTACGAATCGTCGTGACTTACATCAATGAATTATACACCCGCAATTCCCATGGAGCTATTAAATTTATGGGTAGTGGACAAAACCATGGGGATCACTCTTGGTTAGCGGAGAAACCAAACTGTCTCAGCATCAGAGTGCAAATGTTAACATCTACTGAGTTCTTACATGTCAAACATACTGAGACAGCTTTTCTTTACGCTTGGCAGTAAGGCTAGTAAGGCAGCTCGTGTCATTTGTCTAAATGCTCACCACTTAACACAGCTGTCTGGTACTCAGCGAAAAAAATCAAAGTTGGGCATCTGAACAAAACGTACAGAACAACTGAAAGACCGCGGAAGCAACCGTTCTAAGCAGATGTCAGACACAGTTCGAAAACAGAGAGAATAATGGGAGACAACGGAGGATAAGACGTTCATGTGCTCGTGGAAAGATAGCCAATGCAAGAAAACATGTCTTCCAGAAACTAGTGTCAGTATGAAATCTTGCGGAATGCGGCTATCAACAGACTCGTCTGAAAGTCATGGCTATTTTCTAATCCCTAGTTAAAACCCACGGTGGTTAGGAAATTAAGTTTTCTGGCCCGTTTCCCGGCCAAATCATGAAGTAAGCAATATCTCGAAGTTCGGAACGACTCGGATGCCTCAGAATGGTGCTTCTCAAGAGAAAAACATGAGTACCCTGATGAGTGTTTGGCCTCAATGGGAGATTACTGCAGAGGTCGACTGTTTTTAAGCTTTAAGAGATTAGCCCAGCAGTTCACTGGTTAGACCGTCGCACCTGTTGGAATATACATGGCTGACCGTACGGTGCACAAGCTGGTGACGTAAACGGGCTACGTGACGTTTCACTGGGGTTGCCTGACTTCGGCAAGAGAAAAGCACACACACACAAGCCACAAACCGTGTTACATTGGTATAAATGCAACAATCCAAGTTCATTTATACACGAATAATGACACTCGCGTGAAACAATGGGAATTGGGAGATGAATTCGCACCAGCATAGCCCTCCGTATCGAAAGAAGTCAAGTAACGCTTTTGTGTGCCTTCATGTGGACTGTGCAACAAGATAACATGTAAATGATAAAATGATTCAATGTACGTTAGAAAGTCACCTGAAATATATATATCACTTTACGCCTTAGACAAATAGGCGAGACGCAAGGATATTAAACAAGGTAGTGAGTGTAAACTAACTGAGGGATCTTAGAATCACACTAAGCGGAAATTCAGACAAGTAAAAGTTTGGAGCGAGTGCACGAGGTGGGCTTGGCTTCACAGGGTGGTTGGTGGAAAGGTCGTGAATAGTTTTTCGGGTGACAATGCTCGCTTACTACCAAATTAACCTATTCATTTCTTGAGATTCTTATAAAGGTGTTTTGGCGATCAGACGATAGTCTTTCTCAGAGGACAGGGGAACAATAAACTCAGGGATGAAGCATACGAGCAACAACAAGCCTATGAATGAGACCGACGGGAACAAAAGAGTTCTCAGTTTCTCAGCATAAAAAAACTAGGGTTAAACTATCCAAAGAACAACTTGAAGGTTGGGGGACCAAATAAGACCATTCATTGGAATCACATTCATACATATCGCAGCAGAAACTCCGGAGAGAGAAATACACTAAAAACAGTAAGGGGTTGAAGTCTGTTGAGTGACTTATGGCGACGTGGACCGGAGGTGGGCGAAAACAAAACATCGTCATTTCGGATGAGAAAGCACTCGATGAAATGGCCACCAACTTTGTTCGGTACAGTTTGCGGCTGCAGATTTATTCCAAGTAGCCGGTAGATCTGGTCAATCATCGACGTGCTTGTACTGGATGCGAAAATCAGGAATCAGTAAGTCCCTTACGTACAATGAGCAGGAAAAGGAAGAAACAGCATCCTGGGGAATACAACTGTTAGTCACCGATCAACGGCGGCTAATCTTGTGAAAGGTGTGGAAGCGGTATTCAGTCGCCTTGACTAGGCTGCATTTAGTACCCACTTCTGTGAAAATCTACAGTAATCGTCTTCTGTAACTACTATCAAACGCATCAGCATAGTCAATGAAGCAAGGATATAGTATCCAATGATGAAGTGGTCGGCTGAATTAGTTACGCAACAGCATACGCCGAGACTGATCATATGCAAACTGGAGTCGATTTGTGATGGATTCACGAAAAACTAACCAGTGGAGCTCTCTGACGAACGCCATATCGGAAGATGTTGTTGGTTTAGGGAAGAATTTAAAAAAAATGACAATGTAAGCCAAACAAATCTGGAGGCTATGGGTGTAGCACTCTGGAAGATAGGAACTAACCAAACAGTTTGTGCTGTTTCGCAATATTGTGGAAGCGCACAGCTGACAAAATTATTGTGTTGTATCGTGGGTGGCCGTCTATTGGTTACGCCTACACTGAGCCTGCCAGACTAGGCGATATGGAAAAGACAGGGAACTCGGGGCACGGCTGTATTGTCAGGACAAAACACACAGAGCTTCTGAGTAAATATCTAGGATGACTAAATGGCCAGATATGGTCGTTCGGTTGTTCGTTCCGTACAGCCAATGGCGGTGTTCCAGTCGTGAACAATTTCAGCCCCACTCCACTGGTCTTATGTTGTTGTTTGGTGAGCTTCGCCAACGCACCTGCTTTCCGAACGTGTCGTACCGATGGTGACCTTGGGGGTGCGTCACAGTCTACACATGTACTTTCTTCATGTCTGGGTGCGTCCTGCCATATTTCTACTTATTGAAAAGGAATTTTATGAAGTAATGTAACAGGACCACTTATGTATTGTCCCGGTCGTAAAAAATCGATAAGTCCGAGAAGGAACTTTATCAAAGCTTGTCCGCTTTGTAGAGTTACTCTTGCTCACCGTTTCTTTTAAAAATGGTTGGTGACGCTAGAAAAGGGGTGAACTGGATCTGATTGGGATACATAGACAACATGAAGCAGATATGCACCATGGAAAATATGCCCAGGGTAGCTATACCAATTTGGACGCAAAAAATACATAGCCCATCTGTGGCTTGCCTCGACGAATGTCTGACATGCAAAGGAAGTCCGAGAACTGAGATTCAGTCAATTTTTCCATACCTGAACAGGAGCGATTGAAAAGACAGGACATGGTTCGAACTACAAACCTCTTGGTCAGTGGTTCTGTGCTTTGACTGCTGAACGAATTCGAACTAACAGACCGACGGAGCGGGAAACTCAATTGACTTGTTCAGGTAATTTCATTCGCTTATCGCCTCTAACGAAGACTGAAGCACTGAGTGAAACAGACAGCCCATCTAAAAGCATGGTCAGTTGAACACGCCCACAGTCGAGTCAGAAAAACCGGTTTCGTGCGCCAAAAACTAAGCGACCACTGTTAGTCTGCCGTCTTTTGGACAATAAAAAACGGTATTCTGGTTTTCGCCGGTGCCGTGTGCGCTACATGACTCATCAATTGCCTTCCCTCGCCATAGACTGGCAGTTGACTGCCATTTCTCTCTAATTGGTCTCGCCCACAGGCTATCGATCCCCATGGGCAAGTGACCTGATAAGGCCATCCCCTGCGACAACACTGTGACAGTCGGTTTGCCACCGGTCGTGTGCTCCCGTCGCGCACTTATCACACGGAACAAAGCTAGTCGGCCGAAAGCTCTCGGCACTGTCAGTGTAAGTAAATTCCAAGTCGCGAAGGCGATGGTTTTCAGAACAAATCCGCGTCCCAAAAGTATGGTAGACTGTGATTACGTGGCGCACAAGTATCACGCACAACCAACAAAAGTCGGTGTGGTAGCACGGGGTGACTAGATGATTTGCCCTGTAGAAAGTGGGCGGAACAAGAGGAGCTCACAAACTTTGCTAACCTGCAACTCCGAAATCAGACAGGACCGATCGCATTTGACCTTTTATTTTTTTCATTTAAAGATTTACAAGCAGCTTACATCGTCGTTAATGCACTTAACTATTCTTAAATTAGATGAGGACAGGTCACATGGTTTGCCCCCAGGTTAAGTCGCAAAAGCGGTTAAAGAAACACGGGGTAGTAACTGAACGAAGAAATCCTGTCAGAAAAGACAGCCACACACGAAAACATGTCATGAAAACCAGCTGGCACACGCGACGACCCCATCCGAAGAAAACTAAACGTGAACATATGGCTGACTAGGACGATTCGATAGTAAAGTACACACTGTTCGCCAAAAAAACAAATAGGACAACCAACCACTAGTATGTACAGTGTGTAGCACGTTCGAGAAGCATTTTTCATCTTATCCACTCTCTTTATATGCTTCAGTTAGTTCTCCCAACTCAAGTTACTGCACGCGGCAAATATTGGCAATTTGTCGGTGCTTCCAAAGTGTAAACTAGACACAAGCTAGGACGTATTATGGACATATCAGAATTCACAACAAGACTACTGCAACCGAAAGGAATCCGCGTGAGCAACTGCTATAATGAGGACCAAAGCACAAACAGACGAAAGTGCAACGAACGACCTCGCGAGCCAAGTCAACTTCACGAGATGGGATGAACTGGAAACAAACTAGAGGGACATTTTCTACGGGGCGTAGCGGAGTATAATGTGGCTAGTGAAAGACATGCCCGACCGCATCTCATTTCCATATGCAAAGATCAAGAGCACAAAGTGAATCTAGAGAACGTGAAGATCGTGACATGGGGAATACAAGGCACGAGACAGAACTTCCGGGAGCGCGGTACTCCGCAACGAACTCGGTCGATGGACATATTGAGCTCAGCTCTGTCTGCGCACCATTACGAGTGAAGGACCACCGTTTCATTCGGAGTCAGAACCGGACATCAGACCAAAGGAACAAGAAAAAAGCTCGCTGTGGAGGCAAACTAACGAAAGCGGGGGACCGGGGAGGTCAAATCTCAGGGCCGCCGGGTTAAACAAATCAACAGATGGGGCAGTCAACAAGAGAACGGGAACGCTCCTCCCGACCTCTACGAGGAGTAGGTTTGGTATAAACTCACGCGCAAACTCCCAATAACAACGCAGCGAGGATTTCACCTCAGCTGGCAATCGAACTGCTCAAGCTCAGTGAACAAACCAATGACCAGGTAAGCTGGATGTTTATACTAAAACGTCTCACGCGGGGATTGTCATTAAAGTTACGAGTAAACTACCTTTCAAAGTTGCGTGAATTCTGACACTCTGACGAAGTAAACTATTTAACCCAAAGACCGTTTGATATGGCAACCGCATTTGACACATGTCTGTGACTTTATCATTCTGTTCGATCAGCTGCATCTGTTGTAGAAATTGTAGCAGAAATCAAATCAAAGAATACGAAGGACACAGTCTGGTGTGTCCGAATGATTTTAAGTCAAGTGTTTGTTGTCTGGCACAATAAGGTTACATCAGCCCTCCGGAGAAGGGTTTTAGTGAAGGGTTTGTCAGATACCGTTTCGGGTTAACACATAAACGTATTACGAACCTTCACGTGCATAGGAGTGGCCTATGCGAACTCTCCACCGAGCCGTGTAGAACATAGTCGGGGCTGAGCGGCACATTCAAAAGGCACGACAAGCACCCTGGTTGTACATTCCAAAGTACGAGCTCGGATCGTGTTTGACTTACCGCCCAACACCATGGTTAGACTGTCATCGTCACGGCTGGATATTGGAGTTTATGGTCCATATGTGGACTTTCGGTAATTCCGCATGTCAGCAATACTTTGAAGTAATGTAAAGTGTTCGTGAAGTTTGTTAGCTGGCTGTGTACCAATAAAGGCGATCTCAGTTGCTGCTACTTCGCAAATAGCATTGTGACCTGTGTTCACCCTCACACAGACTGTGGTTACGGCACAAGTGACGGTGCAAAGTTCGAAGTACACCACTCGCCATCCACTGTGGTGTGAGTTGACCTGTTGCCTACATACGTATTTTACATGATCAGTTTGTTTCTTCACGATCATTGGTACACACCTGGACAGTCCCAACATACACATAGGCATCAACCACCGAACTACCCAAAGCGATGTGTGGGCTGAAAGTCCGTACCGAGATACCAGCTGTATGGTTTACGAGATCACTTCAACAAGGTCCTGTTGCTATCTTGTCACACCAGACCATATTTTTTAAAATCTGCGCTGCACACGAACGCAATTACAATGCATGCTTCAGTCGGATTTCCTGATCCAGGCTTCAGCGCCCTTTCTCGACACACGACCCAACTGCATTCTCCGTTCATTAAAAGACCGGAAAACAGTATCTTGTAAAGTAAAAGCCAGCCGTCAGCATAATAGGGCAGTTCGTGGTATTGACTGTTGTGGCAGCGATGACCAGCAAATCTAATATGACGGAAAATCAGTATATAGGAACCAGGGAAATCAACCAAGAAAGTTGCTATATGCAGTGGAACAGCTTTCGATAGCTTTAGTGGGATCTTTTCCAGATAAGCCACGCCACTAATGCAAAAAGCATATGTGCGAAAAATCAAGCCCCGCCCCACTTTTTGCCAGCTCCAATTTAATGTACGCACACAACCTTGACCTATTTTTGATGAAGACAGTTCATTATTCGCATCTAGACTCATTTTGCGTAAAAGCCACGTAGTGATCCATCAGCAACGCTTATGCAACGATGGCCACCAAATGACACTTTCAGCTGTTTCTGACAGGTGGAGGTGTAATGCCTGGTAGTGTCCGTAAGAAATCGATCTTCGAAAGAGAACTTGGCTGGCTCGGTCTAGGATAGAGTTTACGACAGTAATTCTGTTCATTTATTGCTGGTCCAAAAATTTGGCAAAAATCAAATTCTGCTCAAAGGAATTGTCTATTAGCCACACGACCGCTGTTGACTGGAAAAACTTTCTTCGCGAAGTTTGAGCCTGGCGGCTTTTGCAGACTCCAACAGTTATCGGTGGCCCAGGTCTACCCGTTGAGATCGACGGAACGCTAATATCTCGCCGTAAAAACCACTCAGGGCGAGACAATCCCCAGCAGCGGACTTTCGGAGGGACATGCCGGGAAATTAAAGAGGTGTTCATGTATGCAGTGCCAGATCGAACTGCGGCCACTTTGATGGACACAATCCAGGCCTGCATCGCTCCCGGCTCAATCATCATCACCGATAGGTGGGCATCATACCAAGGAACTGAAACGATGATTGACAAGAATTATACTCATGAAACGGTTAATTATACCGAAAACGACTGCAGCTCACACATACAAACCGTCGAATCTCTTTGGCACGTCTACAAGATGAAGAATAAACGCCAATGCGGCACACACCGATCTTCAGGGGACAGCTAATTGTGTGAGTTCGTTTGGAAGCAAAGGTACCGAAAAACGGACCTTTTCATGCAAATTACTAATGTCATGTCCCAATTTCACCCTCTTCAATAAAAACTAAAAGTACAAATTTCATATCCCCTTTTTTTCTAATTTTTTTGGGTGGCGTTGGTTAATTTTTTGGCGGGGCTTATCTAGAAAAGACCCCTTTAATGGTTTGAGAAACATAACCGGAAGCTGAAGACTGAGGAAAGTTGAAATCCGAGATGACAGAATACCTTATCGGGTCCATTAACTCAGCTCAATAGTTCAAAAAGCCAGTGTGTTTCTATTTATCCAACGCCAGATTGTAACCTCGTTCGAATGGCTAGGAATAAGCTGGATAATGCTGATGATCAAACTTTAGTTTACATTTGTCACTGATTTTTCACGATCATGGTGAAAATGCAGTCAGGCGACACGACAGAAAAGCGCACAGTAACCCAGGCTATTCTAGCCCACTGGAGTATCTACCGAACCCGTTTTAGTGTATACTGAGGCCCGGGAGTTGAAATTACATGTGGTCTGACTTGAAAAGATCACCAAGTGTTTAGTCGAGAAGCCATGTACAAGAGAAAATGAAACCACCCAAGGGTAAGCGGCTAATGTGCGTTTTCCGGTATCAACGGATCTTCCTCTCGGTGGATTACGGATAAAGTGATGTAATGTCTACTCTGATGTCCGATCCCGGAGCAGTCATATATTGGACCTACAATAGATATAGTTGACACTTTGGAAAATGGCTTTGCACCAAAAATCCAGTGCTACGATGAGTGAGTTCGGGAAATAAATATTTTCTCTGTGCAGAAATCCCACCAAACAGAAGGCATCACGAGGAAAACGAAATTACAGCCTCGTTTCAGGGAATGGTATCATTACGAGAAGAGTTAAAACACTAAATCCTAACCGACGAAAAACGCCGCTTAGACCCCATAGGGAGGTTGACTTTCCCTGAGAGAGATTACCGTCTTACTGGAGGTGGCTTGCAACCCTGCACTGACGATGTCACCTATGATGAAACGCTTGCAATCCAACTGCCAAGCTCGACGAATAGATCACCAACCATGATAATGAAATGGCTAGCGCCAGTATGCACTCCATTGCCGGATGCCTTGTTAACTGAACCGACGTTCAAACCAAAGCAATAAGCAAAGGGAATGTACAAATATACATACACATGATGGGGCAGTCCACTTACCGGACAGTACCAAAACCTTCTTCGGGATATTCTCGGTTACCAAATCGACTGCCACGGTCTGCTATAGCTTCTCCAGCCCCGGGAAGTGCATACGGAGGTTGATAGTCGTCCGGCCCAAGTAATGCATCTACATCGTCGTGGACCGGACCATGCAGTGTACCAGAACTGGCAAATAGTATTGTCGTATCCAGGTCAGCTATTATCCCACTCACTGTGCTAGCCGACTGCAGGCAAGCTTGGGTGTTGGGACCTTGAGTGTCGAGCAACGCGATCAAGTCACGTAGCTGAGTGGGATAGAAAGAAGCGACTATTAAGACAGGTAGATCGGTATAATGAGTGGACAAACAAGGAATAACAAGGTTGATGAATGGACGAATGGAAGAGAGGGGTGAGTTTAAGGCCAAATGGCCCCATGGTAGACAGGAATTCCCACAACTTTGTCGGCTAGGAACTCATCAGTCAGAGTTCGCGCGTTACTTTCTTGGAAAGACGCGCAAACAACCACTTAGTACGCGGAAATCCATCACTGAGTGAGGGCAATCACACAGAAGCAAAGATACCTCATCCGTACTACTCGTTGAGCAACTCAGCTGGGAAGAGCGCAATGAGGGTAATTCATTTCGGACGGTGTAGAAGAGAATAAGAACAGAACTAGTGCTTACCTTGGAATCCAATGCTTCAGCCCGTGTGTCCAAGTAGGCAATACCTTGATTACGACTCAACAGCATTTGTTGATCCCCATGTGAGTCGTACGCTCGGATCCGAGCGGCAGTGGTTGCCTGAACCAGTTCGGCTGTCGCCATTCCCACAGCTCTGACAGCACCGCGGAGTTCGTCAGCCTGTCTGGCGTCGGGCAGAGTGGCCGCAGCTCCTTTACAGGTCTGACACATTTCTTGATACTCCTACGTTGAGAAAACAGAACCAGTCAAAAATACAAGTTCATTTCAATTGGAGAATTCAATCGCTCCTACGATCGAAGCTAAACCTATGCCATAACTAAACTCTGCGAAAATTCGTTCGTGAGAAGCTATTGGTCTCACCTGCGCCAACGTGTGAGCGAGAGGTGCCAGTTCCCCGTCGGACGGAGGCTGTCGGGCACGAAGTTGAATGGCTTGCGTCAACTGTTCCATGTGCCGGGCAATACGCAGTAGGCGAGCTTGATAGTCAGCGAAACGAGCATCAACGGGGACTTGGATGATTTCTTCAGTCTGTAAAAAGGATGCAGTGGAGGTGAGAATACAAAACAGCCATAAAGAGGATGGAAAATACCCAAAATTGAATTGTGAAAGCCACGAATTTTCGGGTTTCGGGAGACGCTCGGCGGAACGTACAGAACACATATTCATAAGAAAACAGAAACCTGAAGATGATGAAATGGTGGCCCCCGGAAACAAACCGGGGCTACTCACAAGAACGGGCAATACGCGATTTGTGTACCACAAAAGAGATCACTTTTGTGCCACAATTTACTTCACCGCAAAAGCTCTTGAGGAAATGTTGGCTACCATCCCCTCAACGTTTATCTTCGACGACTTTACCAGAGTTTGGTTACCACCCCATCAACGTTTATCTTCAACCGCTTTCACAGTCCGATTACTATCTCATTAATGTTTACTTTCATCCACTCATATAATCTGTTCAACGCATGCACACCCGCTGTTTCATTCCTGTCCGCATTATGACGAACATGCGCCCCACGACTAACCAAGAGTGTTGGAATCTTATCCTAAGACAAACAATGTAAGCGCATCCTCACTCACAACATAAACATTATATATATATATATATATATATATATATATATATATATATATATATATATGCGGAACAACGATCCCACAGCCCGACGCTCGTCAGTTCACACAGCGCCTTGACCAGACCATTTCAAGCCGACGCACGACTCACTGTGCAGGAAAAGTCTGGGCTCGAAATCGTTTTGGATTAAACGACAAAGAACAGGCCAGATTTCAACACACTCGGTCAAGACCCCATTCAATTCAACGGCGTCCCACAAACATTGGCTGCATCGGCTACAACTTATCAAACGAAGAACTCAATAAGTCTCATACTTCTTTTGTCCATTATTCAGTTGTAATTTGTGTCTCTGGTAGCGATCCGAAACAAATCGATTTTCACCAAGCTCAGATAGTTCGGTTGTTTTTAATGTTGTTTCATCTTCGGATCTTACTCCACCCCGTCTATGAAGGAGGAAAAAACACGCCTTGCTAAAGACGCAGATGAAAGCAGCCGATGACCACTACGTTGACGCTCAAGTAAGGATCGGTCAGAATATCACTGAGCATTTGGAACAGTCCGTTCAAGAGATGTAGAAACTTCCGTCAAATGCTCCAAAAATCGATTAAAGATGTTCGGGGGGTAACCCAGTTTTCAACGACGTAAGAAGTGCGTGGAATGGTTGTTGTCAATCAACTCTCCTAGGAGAAGATGACCCCACAGACTAGAATTACGCAACCCTCGAAGGTGTGGCTTGGTGGAGAAGTGCCGTCCATTGGTTTCTGACAACAAGGTCTTTAGGATTGCTTGCTAAGAAAAAATTGAATGTTGGGAGGGGGCACTAATAAATAGTATTCACAGAGCTTTTCAAGATTTTCCATAATTCAACTGATCTTGGAGAAAGAGCCGATTGGAATGCATTTTTCGAAGATACATTTAACTCTTTCGGTCCTCCTCTTTCATTCCGGTTGAACCGACATTTTCTGGTACCCTCAACTGTTGTGTATAAGTAAAATTCCCTGGGGAAAGTCAGCTTTCTCTATCAATCTCGAGAATGTTCCATGTCTGGAGTACTGATGTCGTTTTAGAATTCGGCTTCACATGGCCCCACTCGACCAGGTGGGGAAGATCATCTGTCTCATTGTCACTCCTCTTATCCAATAAACTTCAGGCTCCTACATTCACGTAGAGAGGTGGTACCTTCAACTTTGTTTTAGCGCCACTCGCGTAGAGGATGCTCTTCTAAGACGGCTTTTCCCATCACCTTCACTCGAACTCTTAACTATTATGATAAAACATGTTTTCCAAGCCATCGCTATCACGTCATTTCTACTATCGAACTTTTTGCCTCCTCTTCTGAACCGCTAGGCTCTGAAACTTTTCATCACTCTCTGTATTCTCCTTTCTTTTGTTCTCCAAAATCTCATTCCTCGTGTTCATATGCAC